CTTTGTTGCTTCTGAGCTAGATGGCTGCTTGTTTACCTTCAAGCCTTTAAGAACCCAGATGCTATATCTTTTGATAGCTGGGCACCATCAGCTTTCTTTGCCACATTTGCTTATGCACCCATTTGTCTTCAGCGATGGTATCAGGGAGGTGAGCCACAAAATTATTTTTGTTGCTGCTTCATAACTCATTTTGCTACTGTTATGAATTGGGCGACCCCTGTGAAAGGGTCATTTGACCCCCAAAGGGATCACGATCCACAGGTTAAGAACTGCTGCTATAGGGCAAAGTAGAATTATCCCTGTGAGTTTCCAAGACTGTAACTGTCTTCTAGAGTAGAAAACCCTGTCTTTCTCCTGAGGAACTGCTGGTGGTTTTGAACTGCCGACCTTACGGTTAGCAGCCTAACATAGAATCATTATACCACCAGGGCTCCTATCCAGTTCTCTCTACTGGTCCACCAACTTGGAAGGCAAAACCAAGGCGCGCAGTCTAACTGCTTACCCAGCTGGCATAAAATCTTTCAGGAGACATCCTTTTTGCAGAAGTCCCCTCTAGACCAACTCTTTTAATTGGAAACGTCTTTTCTGAACTTCAAGAAAGAGGTTAGGCGAATGGGATGATTGTAGAAGACAGGCCAGCATTTGGTTTAACCTCTGGCACTGAATTAGGAAAGAACTTGGGGGTCCTGCCATCAATCTAATTTACATTGGAGACATTTATTTCTCGTGGAGTGCTGGGGCTCTCTCTACCCGCTTGTGTGTTGAAAGTATCTCAACTGCTCACTCAGTTGCTTCTGTAAGTCCATTCTGAGATAACAGTCCCTGCCTCTGTTCATCTCTCTCAAGCCCTCATTCAACTATCAGAATTAGTTGTCACCTCAGTAACAGCGGGCTGATTTAGTAGCTACAGACAGAGAAGTTAGAAGTTCATCTTAACCTATGGGGAATTCCTTTCTTTGTACAATCCTTGTACAACCGGGCTATCAAATGATTCTCTGCTTGGTTACAGGCAAATCTGCTCGCAAAGAAATGGTTAGTCATCTTCTAATGATGGGGTGGAGCAAGGACATTTTTTTCTCTGTAAAAGGACATCTTACTGGAGTGTGGGGGCAAGCTGTAAGGAACCTATTTCTCACTGTGATTAGCACTCCACTAGGAGAGAGGCTTCAAAAAGCTCATGGAAATATTCCATCTTTTCATTCCATCTTCCAAGGAACCTGTTTGATGCCCCCTGATATTTTCCATGCAAGCCAGTTTTAGCCCTGAAAACTTCATCTGCAGCTTCTTGGCTTTAACCCCCGCCTCTTCTTGTAGATGGAGGAATTGATTGAGGGTGTTCGCTGGGCCTTTATTGACATGCTGGAGAAAGAAAATGAGTGGATGGATGCAGGGACCAAAAGGAAAGCCAGAGAAAAGGTAAGGATTCTTTTTGTTGGAAAACCACACACACACACACACACACACACCCCACCCCCCCACCCCCTAAAAAACCGTGCAGTGGATTTTTATATTGACTCGGCTGTTGATTTCAAATGACTCCGGAGTTAGGTGTCTGTTTTTGGATGAGGCCATAGATTTCATCTCCAAGAGGTAAGAGAAAATACGATCTGACTTTTTCTTTTTAAATTGCATTTTCCAACACCTTGTAATTTAGCCTTTTCGTCTCTCCTAATTGCTGTCTTTAAGAGCCACATGGCTCGCTGCCCAGCGAATTTTGCCATAAACCATCATTGGATATGGCAGAATGCAGAGCAGCGGGAAGCCATGGGGAGCAGCTGGCAGAAGAGCCCTCAAGACGTAAAGAAGAAGAAAAATCCGTATCGGCCATGTGTCCTTCTGTTTTGTGAATGATGTGCGCAAGTAGCCTTGGGCAAGTCTTTTCCTGTAACCACGCCGATCTACTTCCTAACCCATGGTGTGGCACAAATGACCCAAATCACAGGCTTATAAACAGCAGACCGTTGTGTTGGAATGCGAAAATACTTCCTCGTAGACACAGACACTTGCTGGTTCTTGTAAAAAGACCCTATTCGATGCAATATGATAAAGGAGTAAGTGAGAGAAGCCCTAGCGCCTATGATGTTGAAAACCAAAGAGGACTCACCTTGAGTTTCCAAGTATCCTGATGAAGCCGGAGCTCAAGCGGGTAGCGGAGCACCTGCTACGGGCTACCGTTGGTGGGCAGTATTAGCTTTCCATCGCACTGCAGAGCTGCGGGAGCCCTCCCCAACACAGGCCCATTGAGTGGCTCAGGGGTGCCATCTGAGCCCTTGGGAGCAAGGGGATGCTTTTCAAGAGGCAAGCCCAGGGAACCCTGATTTGAGTCATACATTCGATTCAGTCTGAGCTCATGCCTTTGTGCCTTATGGTCAAGAAACAAAGAAGGCTATGTTTTGGGAAGGCGTGGCTTTGCTGGTCTGGGAGCGTGCGAGAATTCGCGAGGCTATTTTCTAGAGCTTTCCTGCCCGCTTGGAGGAATAAACATGGTCACATATATTTTTGTCAATAGACCCAAAACAGCTGATGTTTACAGTGAAGAAAGAACTTGGTAGAAGTGGGGGAGGAATTGGAGGAAGCCAAAGGGGAAGTTTGACGTTTTCGTTTCCCCTTGAAAATCGGATAAAGCTGTCATTAGTCACGTAAGACGCACCCTGATGGAGGCTGTGGCGGAAAGCTCGCCAGATGGTAGATGGAACTTTGGGCACCAACATGTTTCTCTGCAGGCTTCCTGCATCTGCCAAGCTAGCTTGTGGTATCCAGAGCTATGTGGGTCCTGGATTGGGGCAGTGGAAAGCTCAGTGTGTTACAAAGAAAAACAAGACACACACCCCCCCACCCCCCCAAAACAAAAACCTTGTTCCTTTGGAGTTGATAACTGACTGGTAGCAACCCTGCAGGACAGAGAAGAACTGCCCCCACAGGGTCTCTAAGGCCGTGATCTTTACAGACGCCGTCTGCCACACCTGTGTCCTGCAGAGTGGCTGCTGAATTCCAATCACTGACCTTTTGGTTACCGCCTAGGATCAGCCCAAACGTGGCTGACCATTGGAATCACCAGGGGGATCTGGTAAAACCACAGACTCCTGGGCTCCATTTGCGACCGAATGAAGCAGAATCTCTAGTGTCTCCTGATCCCCAGACGATTCCGATCATCAGCTGTATTTGGGGAGCTAGGGGTTAGGAGCTAGCTGAGTGCTTAATCAGCCCGTTACCGTGGTTCCTCTCAGTATCTTAAGGGCCCATGTGGAGTGTGGGCCTGCCAATGTGCAGGAGTGGGGTGGGGGTGGGGCGGGGTGTAATGTGATGGTGGATGCCAGGGGAATAAGCTGAGCAATGTGGCCCCTTCTTTGATAAATACAGCTCTTGTGGTCCCCTCAGGGAGCTCTCGTGAGTTGTATAAGGGACTGGGCACCCGTAGAGTGGGCCTTCTAGGCAAAGGGTCCACGAGTCCTTGCAGGAGGACTGGGCTGTCCTTCTAATATTAGACGTGTACCTGTTTGTCCCCTGAACTGCTCTCCGGTCTTATATTTTCTTTCAAGGAGAGCTGACACCTTTTCTCCTAAAAGCACTCTTTGAACACTCGGCTTCCTTTGAGCCGACGCCAACCTGCCAGGAGCACAGCTCGTTCCTCCAGGTGCAAATATCAAAGGCCATTGTCGGACTCTGCATCTCGAGTCCCCCAAGTGTTTCCTGTAGCTCAGAGTTCAGAGCACTCACTTTAATGAAAGGCAAGAAATTGGGACGTTGTCCAAGGATTTCCAGCAGTTCTGAGTCGTGTCCTGCCCCGGCCCCCTGGAACATGTAGATCTCCACCACAGTCCCTCTGCCGCTCCCGCCCCGCCCTCCACCAAAAATAAATTAACGTGCAGTTCTGTAAATGACCTCTGGGTGGAGCTCGTCGTACTCACAACCTTCCGTGAGTTGAAGGCTTTTCTGCAGCTTTTCTGGTCTGGGGTTGTTTTTGAGAAATTATTTTTTTCTTGCCCCCTTTTTTCTCCTGTCCTCAATTTGATTGCCTTTTAATAGTTAACAAGAAAGGAGAGGTTCTGCTTAATAATTCCTTGAGTCTTAGATGGAAATCTCTGACGATCTTAGGGCTTTGTAACTCAGCATCTTCCTGATACTGGGTTGCCCCTGCATTATGAAAGGATTTGCCAGCATTCGAAGTGGAGGTGAATAATTTGCCTCCTCTTCCTGGTATGACTTGGCACTGCTCTTTGGCCATGTGCTGTATGCAGTATATCACCCGGCGGAAGGTTTCTCATCAATAATAGTGCCCACACTGGGCCAGTGCCGAGTCACTTGGCAACCATTGGGAAAGTTAGAGAAATGTTTCCGCTTGCAGGGGTGGGGGGAGCATCCCCTCCCCTCACTGGGATGCTCCTGCCTGCTGGCGAGCCCGGGGCTGCCTCAACGGGGTTGGCCTCCCCTTTTTCTAACAGTGGGCCTCCTGGCCTCCCAGGGCTTCGGGTCCCTGCAGTGTTCCGAGGCCAGCCACCTTGGCCTCTCTGACAGCGACCCCAGCGCCCAGTGGAAGGCTGTGCTGTGGCTTGGCCGTGCTATCCACCAGGAGTGGTGACTGTCAAAGAAAACCGAGGATGCCCTGCACCTGTGAAGGGTCCATTTGTTTTCGCTCTTTCTCGCCTCTGCCTTCTTCTCCCCTGCTCGTCTCCAAACAAGTGGTATGCGCTTGGGAAGCGGCGGCTGTGTACGCTTCAGCTTTTTGTTTAGGCTCCTATGTTCCCGACAAGCATGTGCTGGTCTCGTCAACAAACTGCAGAGGACAGGGGGCCTGCCGTTTGCTTGAGGAGCAGAACTGTTGCAAGGGGTTATGGTAATGGAAGAATAATCGGGGGCGGGGGGTGGGTGGGAGGTGTCTTTGAGAGCACTTGCCTCTTCCAGGGCAGACCTGGAGGATCTCAAGGTCACTCAGCATAGACTAGGGCCTGCCTGGAGGGTCCACCGGCGGACTTCTTCCTTTCTCGGGTTGCCCTGGTGGCTGGCTCCGGGCTTCAGCTGGAGGCCAGGCCTGGGGCCACATCAGCTGGATTCCATTAAGGAACCAACACCTGGGTCCGTTTGGAACTATTTGTACTCTCTCGAACCCAAGGCTAACCTTGCCAGGCCACACCTGAGAAAAGCTGTCAGGCTAGGGAAACATCATCGGAAGGATGCTGGGAGTGAGTGGCCTGAATTCTGATCACAGAAGGTGCAGTGCGAACCCAAGAAGCCTGCTTTTAATAGTCTCAACTCACAGGCAAGGGCCGGAAACAAGGGAGGAAGGCAGTTTTTTTCTCTGAGGGCAAAACAGAATTGTAGTTCGCTGCCTGGGTGGTGTTTCTAAGCTCTGCCCAATCCTAGGGAATCCCCCTCCCTGTATGTAGTCTTTCCTGAAACCCCTCCCCTCAACAGCCCTTCTCTGGGCTTTGTCCTTGCACCTGTGGGTGAGGGGGGTCCCTCCAGCTCTCCCTAATGCCCGACAATGCTGCCATCTGCGTTCACTTTCCTTTTGGATCCTCCCTCCGGATTCATCGCAGGTATTCATTTTAAATTGTTGGGTAGAGGAAAGTGATGGACTTTAGTCACACTGTCCCCTGACCCTCCCACCTTCCCAGTTACAGACGCAAGCATGTTTGTATAACAGCTCAAGAATGGCGTCACCCAGGTTCCTGCATCCAGTCCAGGGAAACATCGAAGCTCACTCAGGAACACTGGCAACATTACACAGACCCGCGCCCCACCCCCCCTCCATCACTGACTTTGACAGGAAGTCAAGTAGAGAAAAAGCCTGCCAGCATTCAAAGCCATAGACCTCTCATTAGCCATATAATCCTTTGGAAATGACTTAATCTTTCTTTCTTTCTTTGACTTAATCTTTCTGATGCTTCATGGCTGCACCTGAAAAATAGGAGTCACTATCCTAAAAGTACTGCAATGCTTTATTGGGCACATAGAAAGGGCATGGGAAGTGGGGAGATGAGGGGATTCGGGGAGCAAACAATGCATGCAGGGGCAGGGCGGGAGTACTATAAGTGATGATGAAGGAGAAAGCGTTGTTGCTTAGGGAGCATGGTAGCTAGTAAGCAGTCTCTATTAATTGTGGAAGAATAATTTGGAAAAGGATATCAATAATGTTTGTACAACAAAGACTATAATCAATGGCACTGAATTAAGCATGTAGAAATTGTTGAATTGGAGAATACATTTTTGCCACCATTTGAAAAAAGAGTTACATGAATAACAATGAGTACAAGGAAGAAGACAATGTTCTAGAATGTCATGTGATAATTGTACAAGCCTTCTTGATATGACTGAATTAGTGAATTGTATGACTTGTGCATGAAGTGCTCATCAAACTATTCAAAAACATCCCAGGGGATGAAAACATGTAGCACAGCTCTTTTTCCCAAGAACCA